TTTGAGAAATCTGGTTTTCACCGCTTTCGAAGCCGAAATCGGAGGAGAATCGCGACGCGCATGAATTCAAAATTGAAGTCAAGTCAAGTCAAGTCAAGTCAAGTCAAGAAGCCATACGCCCGTTGGCGCGTGGGCGAGACAACGCATTACACTGTACTGCTCCTGGTGTGCCTTGCCTCCGGCAGGGCGCGCGGGCAGAAGACTGCGAAAGTTGGTGCCGCGACGGACGCTCGAGAGCAAACCGCATCACGACTGTGACGCAGAAAAATAGCGGAGCGCCCCCCGACTGTGAAGCAGACAATGTATAAACACAATTGTGGGGAAGCCAAAGCAGAGGGGAGAGAGGAGAGAGGGGAGGGGGGGGAACAAGATACAAGCGGAAAGCCGCATCATTCGTGTTCTTCAACAAACTGCGAAACAAATCGACACCATTGTCGAGTGTCTGCGACGCACTGGGAGAGAGCAGAATCAGATTCGAGGCAACTCCTGATTTTATTATACAAACACTTCGCCCACTCGTGTCTGGGGCGCCCGCGCTTCCGTTCAAGAGTATCAGCGATCGGTCTCACACTGCCTGGTTGGAAGGTTAATTTTCGGAGCACGTCCGCGTCGCTGCTCCGGCCAAGTTTACCAAACCACATAAGCTGATGTTGGAGTAGTTGACGACTGTAAGATGTCGCCCCCGCTTGTTGTAGCACACTTTTGTTGGACACCCTCGAAATATAGGAATGAGGAATGTTCAGAATATGGCGTAGGCACCTCGCCTGGAAACCATCAAAGCGTCGTCTGTCGCTCTTGTTTAGCCAGGCAGAGTTCAAAGAGTGCATCGCTTTAGTCGTAATCAGCGCCCCAAATACGTTCAGCTTTCGTTCTACCTTGATGGACGTATGCTTCCAAGCCCTTGTGTATTTTTGAAACTCCCACCAAGCGATCCCAAGTCGTTTAACCAACTCTGGCTTCATATTGCCGGAAGTGTATATCGATGCTCCCAAATATTTCGTGTGTTCTGTAGCCGGAATAGGGTTCCCATTTGGGGCCAAAACCTGTATGTCGCAGCCAGTCTGCATAAGTTGAAATTTATCCCAATGAAGCTCCATCCCCATTGCTGCCCCTGCTTACGCAATTGCGTCGAGCAGTGACTGCAGTTGACCAGCGTGCCGTCCAACCAAGAGGGTGTCACCGGCGTACAGCAGAACAGACCTATCCCCAGCAGCAAGTGCTTTGAGCGATGCCTCGTCCAGTTTGTCTTCTGCGTTTTTGATAACCACGCTCATCACCATGACAAAGAGGAACGGTGATAGGGGGCAGCCCTGCGCAATTCCCGATAGTTGGTTTCTGATGCTTGATTTCTGTCGCCCGTCTGCCACGCAGAAACGTCTGTTATCGCAAATATTACCAATGAGAGAAGGCATCTGTGGTGGCACACCGAATACCCGCAGTGCGTCCGAAAGAGCGGTCACGTTGATCGAGTCGAATGCTTTCTTCCAGTCCAGCGCAAGCATAGATAAGGCTACTCCCCGTTCTGCGTGCGATAACTCGATGTGTCTGCGCACGACATGAATTGCATCGGTAGTACCCCTCTGCCTTCTGAAACCAAACTGTGTCGTTGTTAGTCTGCTTTCGGCCCCAGCGTCTTGTAATCTCTACAATAATAGCGTTGCCAATAACTTGTAAATAACACACAGCAGGCTGATAGGGCGATAATTGTCGCACTGGTCGATTGGGCCTTTGTTTTTGTAGATGGCCGTGACATCAGCGTGTCTCCACTCCGTCGGCACCTGTTTTTCCTTCCAACACGTGTTGATCAATCAGCGAAGTAATTCATTTCAAGCCTTTGCTGTCTTTGGCCAATGCCTTCCAAAACTCTGCTGGTATGTCATCTCGTCTGGAGGCTTTTCCCCGCTTCAATTCCGAAATAGCGAATCCAACATCTGTCTGAAAAATCGGTTTCGGCGATGGGCTCTTCAAAATTGAAGAGCGCATCCAAATCTTCTTTGCGATGAAATCGCCGTGTAAATCCGTCCACTTCTGCGCGAGAGAAGTTGCACAACCCTAGCAAATCTCGCCTCGTTGGTTTTGTAGTAATTTCCTTGCCAGAGAGCTCTACGAGGCATTACTCTAGAGCTTAGCCGCTTCGCTCAGGGGAAGCTCTACGACGTCGAGATTTTTTGAGCGAACTAGCCTGCCGGCGCTGTGGAATTACTCTAGAGCTTAGCCGGACTGACCTGATCCCGAGCTGACCCCAGACTGACATGGGACTGACCCCGGACTATTATCCCCGGATTGACCCCTCGACTTACCCCGGATTGTCCGGGATTGACCCCGGACTCCAGACTGGCCCTGGATTGACCCCCGACTGACCCCAGACTGACCCTGGACTGACCCCAGACTGATCCCAGACTGACCCCAGAATGACCCTGGACTGACCCTGCACTGACCTCGGACTGACCCCAGACTGATCCCAGACTGACCCCGTACTGACCCCGGACTGACCCCAGAC